ACATAAATCTTTTTTTTTTTTTGGCCTTTTTTTCAGTTCAACCGGTAGATCTAAAATTTTTCTATGAGTTCAATTACATCTATATCTTACTAAAGGTAACATTTGAATTAAAGCTTTTTGAACAAAAATAGCAGAAGTTCCTTCTGAGAGCAACAGTTCAGTATTTATAACAGAAATATTGGAGTTACAGTCAAGGTAACACATAAAACCAGAAAACTGATATATCCAGGAACAAACTAAATATTCGACCAATTTGTCAACCTGTTTTTTTGACATATTTGAAACAAAAACTAGTTGCTTAAAAGCCGTCTTTCATCGATGACAAACATACAAATTTTTTTTTACTGAAACTACAGTAACACCGATTAAATTGAACGGAAGTAATTGATTTATCTTTATTTTTCTTGGATAAAAGTTTGTAAGAATGATTGGAGATGATCTAAAAAGACAATGATGATAATACGTTATAAAAACATCGGTTTGTTTTGTAGCTGCAGATCCGCTATATTTACCAACGGCTTCTTTGGATACATTTTTGCGTTTTATGTCCTGCAGATAAGCCTTTTTCCATGCCTAAACGCCCTCCTATTGTATGATTGCAAACGAGAATAAAGGTCAGTTATCCAGCTATACAAATGGAAAAAACTAAAGATATTTAAATCAAACAAAAAAAAAAAACAGTTTTAAGACACCGCGAAAGGTATTCATTGGTTTTCCGGTTACAAACAACTTTTGAAGTATATTATTCATATAGCGGCGGGCAACAACGCCGCAGTCCATGTATAAACGGTATGACAACTTCCGGTCACAGACAAACTTGGCATCTTTTTACTCCGCAAACCGCCAGTTTCCGTTCAAGATTTTACCCATTATCAAAACCCTGTATTTTTTTCAAAAGAAGTTCATTCTGTATAGAAATACAGTTGACCAGCACTTTATAACTGTTCCATAACAGATAGTCAATAATTTATTTATTTAAATCCGCACTATTAATACTGCAATTTCAGTTCTGAGACCATTATCGGGAAGGGGAGGCAGCTTTGTCCTGTCGGCGTAAAATATAATAAAAACGATAAGAAACTTAGCTTGTGGTCCAATTTTGTTGTTATTAATCCTGTAATTAAAAGAAGCACAGAGTAAGCTAAAAAGATTTTACCGAATACTTTTAATGAGGTAAGTCACGCGAAACACAGATTACTGTCGTACAGTTGTACAGCAACAGGTCCATTAAATATAACGTCCTTGGGTAAATTGTACTTCTAGAAATTTACTGAGTAATAAAATGCTTTCCAGTCATCAAAGAAAATTTTTTAATGAGCTTTCCTCTACGGCAATTTCTTGTAGTATTACTGATAATTATCCATTTCTCTTGTAACTACTAAGTTCATTATTCATTTCCTCCAATGGTTTTGAAAAATCACTGTTCTGAAACTACATTACAATAGGCGTTAAAGTGGCTTTTTGCTTGTACATCAATAAATTTCCAAGACAACTTTGCTAGCCAAAATTTAATATATTGCTAGCTATTCAAATTTAAGCTGTTTAAGAAGTGAAAATTCTTATGCAATGTAATTACGTCTAAAGCGGGTTCACCGGGCACTTCCGGATCGTAAACATTTTCTTCCATGATTCTTAGGGCTGTCAAGGCACTGCTGACACTGTCATTATTATAGACTTGCTCTTTGAAGTTCATCTGACGTGAATGAGTTAACAGGAATTACCATTACATCAATACCGCGATTTTTTTTAAGCCAGTCTAAGCTTTTCGCCCACAAGTGCGTTCGCAAGTTTAATTTTGACCTTGGATGTAAAGTAAGGTAAGTGCACTTCAGTCCTAGCTTGAAGTTGAAGAAGGGCAACTAGTTCTTTAAAAACGGAGGTGTCTTAGTTGGATTTTACAGACTTCTTACTGAGGAGCCTGTAAATTTTAACCAAATTAACAAACATCCGCTTGTTCTCAAAATAGTTGCTTAAAAAATTTTACTGTGAAAATTCATTGCTGCTTTAACATGATCTGATACTGTTAAAATACGAAAGATCAATTACGGTTTCAATTGATCAAATCATTTTTAGTCTTTATAACTTATTTGGATATTGCCGTCTGACACTAACAACTTCTTTTCTGTGACAGATTTGATCGACGTGGGCAACTGAATGTTTAGTATATTGCCCTGGTTTTGACACCAACATTACTTTTTTTTAGCTAGCAGGACTGTCAAAGTCAGAGTTTTACTTCTGGAGTGTGATTTTCTGAAATCAATTAAAATCAAAAAAAGAAAATTGTACTAACCTTATTCAATGTGGATACTTGTTTCGCTGTTATATCATCACAGTATTCAGAACCACTGATTTCAACAAAATTTTACAGTCAACATTTATTAGTTGATTTGTTTTTATTAAGCACTCTCCAAAAACCAGTTACTTTTATTTGCATATTGAAAATGGAAACTGATGAGTTGACAAATGAGAACATTTCATACAATTAACATCAACTTTAACAGTAAAAGTTGCCCTGCTTTTGGCAAAATTAAATTCTTGTCGCTACCAATTTGGTAATCCATTCATGAACTATTCTGCATTCTCTAAACTCCTTCTGCATAAAAAACAAATAGCTTTTGAATCATTAACGCGTGCTACAGTTTCTTTGAGGAATTTTCAAGGTATTTTAGAATATTTACATATGACTCTCAAAAAGCAGCTTCCTATGATATATAT